AGACAATCTGTCTAACAAACTTTTTCTAGGCAACCATTACTTTCCAAACAATCTGTTCAGCAAACTTATTCTAGACAACTATTATCTTCTCAACTTATCTCATGTTATGCATCACAATTGTTATTATCACAGCCATAGCAAACATGTGGAAGATCAACATTGCCTAATCATTAATCTTTCAATCAAAATCATTTACATAATTATAATGGTATAAAAAGTTTTTTTTTGATTTTTAAATGTTGATCTTTAATCTAATTTTTTTTTTAACTTTTTTTTTGTTACCTTTTTGAGATTATTCAAGTTGTCATTATCATAAAGCTAAGAACTAAAAATATTTTTTCACTCAAACTATCAAATATGCTTCCTAATTAAACAGTTAAGTGATGATTTTCAAGATCTAAAGAATGAAATATGATACAAAAACATTCAAGGCACTCAAGACATTCAAGACAAGAATCTTTCACTTAAAGTATAGAACATAAGTACTATAGAAAGCAAGGGCATATTTTGAGCACTTTTTTTTTGGCATATTCTGAATGCTTTTTTTTTGATATATTCCGAGCACTTTTGTTTTTATATTTTTGCAAGAAGTATATATTAGTGTTGTCAAATGCCTTTTTTTGCATGTAATATATCTTATCTAAAATGAAATAAAGAGTCTCTCAAGGACTACTTAAACAAAAAGTTCTCTGAATTTATGGCAAACTTAAGTGCTAATGATTTTGCAAACTGGTTTTATAATATATAGTATTCTCAGATAAGCAATAATATTTAACACTTGTGTATATTATTTTATATCATTATTATTTATTTTCAATAGGTTTAAGCATTTTTTATAATGCTTAATTTCTAATAGCTCTTACAAAAAATGAAGAACCTGTGTAATTCAGCATTGCAGAATGTATATTTAGCAATTTGAAGTGTATTTGGTTATGAAAGACTTTCTTATTTCAGAAGCAATGCTAATGCTAAGGATATAGTAATGTAGAAACAAAGCCAAGAAGTATATAATTGCTATTGTATGTTTTATGAGCAAGATGATAAAAATGTTTTCTGGATTGCAATTATTGCAAGAACTGCATTCAGCATAGCTGCTGCCTCTACTCTCACAAACTATCATTATGTCTTTACACTAACTATATATAACATTATATTGAATTTCCAATTAACAAATATTATCTGTAGTGAAAGTTAAATTAAACATCACATAGTGACTATTTGGTAAGTATTTGTAATATATTGATTGTAACTACAAAATGAATATTAACCTTTATTATACTAGAATAACTTTGATAATAGCAGTCCTAATCAAGAATTGGCCAACACAATCATTAATAATGAGCTTGTTTCAAGCTTTTATGAAGTTAAACAATTAACACAAATGCAATCAATGCAGGCCAATTTCAACACTAAACCTGATCTTAATACAACTCCTTTGTTCTGAAATAATTCTTTAATTTTTTTATAAGGATGCACAGAATAAATTGTTTGAAATCTATTAGTGACATTGTTTTTTTTTTATAATTTTTTATATATTGTATACAAAATGTATTGTTAAGTTCAGAAGATTGTGACTCTGTTACTTCACAATTCAATATCTTATATAATATATGATAAGTAATCTTTTTAAAAAAGGCTATTATATTTGGCTAGTGGGTGATTAAGGCTTTCAGTTACTTTGAAGTCAATAAATACAAGTAGGATAAGTCATGTGTTCAAGGACTTGAACAATGTTATAAAAGTTTATAAGATTTGTAATAATAATAGTGTTAGTGTTTATTATGTACAATGTAATGTATTAGGATTTATTATTTAATAAAGCAAATGAAGCATGCTACTTCAAAGGGCCATTTTGGCCTTTATTTGTAATATCTTTTTATTATAACTTTATTAATTATATTAATTTTATTAAACTCTTTAATTTGATTCCTTTAATTTATTTACTTAAACCCATTTATTTAATAAATTCTTCTTCTCTAATTAATCTTCTTCCTCTAATTAATTTCACTTTTTTGATTTATTTAATTAATTACATTAATATAATTAATTGCCAGGATATCTATATTAAGAAATTGATTATTATACTCATTCTTATATAAGATCTTAGTAGAATATTTATGTTATATTATTGAATCTCACAGTATTTTATATGTATAAAATAAATTGTATTCAATTTAAATATATAAATTTTATTCACTTTAAGTTGATAAATATAGAAGTAAATCACTGTAATATTTAATATAATAATTTGTATATACTAATTCTAATATTATAAGTATAGCAGTATATATCAATTATAATCAGCTTATAGCTATCTATCGATTATAATTAATATATAACCTAAGTGATTATAATCAATAAATTATCTAATATAATTCTAATCATTTAAGTTATATATAGATTATAATTATTTCAGTTATATATTGATTTATATTCTTTTTGTTATATATCGATTAGTATTACAATTGTTATAAATCGATAAAAGTAATTTATATTATTATATATTCTTCAGTTATCAATTGATATATAACTCTTTATTTTTTTTCTTGATATATATTTTCTTTGATTAAGAAATGACTATGCAAGTTTTAAGATTGAATTAACTCAATTCTTTTCATAATTATTTTTGAAATCAGTTAAAACAATCTTATAATAATATGTTAGTTAGTTGCAATATGTTAAAAGAATATTTGAATATGTCTGATAAAAATATAGATGCACTTACTTTTTAAAAGTCAAAAACTTCAAATTTAAAGTGAGCACTTCTTGTTAAAATAGCTTAGGATTATCAGATTGCTTAAGCAACTAGTGTTCTGAATAAACAAACCTTTTCCCTTGCTAAATATACAATTAATGCATTGTAAAACTAATTAGAAGATGAAAAGATTTGTATAAGTTTGTGTTTAAAAACATAGTATAATGCAAAGATTGTAAAAAATAATTTTAAACTTTAAAATTAGTATATAGTGATAGTATACACTTTTTTTTGATCACTTTTTAACAGAAGGATAAACTAGTTTTCAACTAGTTCTGGATTAGACTTTTTAGAAACAGAACAAAATCAGACCAGATACATTACTTAATATCTCTATTTGAAGTAGATTTAGACTGCTAATTTTATATTTTTTGAGAGTTTTGTTTTTTTGTTTTGCTCTGAAGTTATATGATTATACTTTACACTAGTTCAGTATTAACTAATTTTGCATAATTAATCTGCATATAAAGTGAAGCAAAATAATAAAATAAATAGAATTGTAATTTTTATTAAAAATCATATTTAGGATTAAAAATTATATTTCACAAACTTACAATATATATAATTTCACATAATATGAATTCATATAAATTTTATACATAATATATAGTACTGGTATAATAAAAAACAGCTAAACTATAGTAGGTTTAACTAATAATATGAGCATATAATCATGTTTCTTACAAATTACATAAAAATCATGTTACTGAAAACTTATCAAATTATGTAAAATTACAGTAATTTGACAACTCTAGTCATATTAGTATTAGGAGAATTTGGAAATGTTAATACAAACATATAAAAATTTAGGATAAGTAGTCACAACTAGAGGTGTAAATGTGTAATATCATAACTATAATGAGTTATATGCATTTTTTGCCATATCAATCACATGATTTGTCACATAGATCATGAGGTAAATTTTTTTAATATGAGGTCAAATGATTGACACATCCAAATTTTATAAGTAAAATTTGTATAAAATTTGCTTTCTGGGATTATTTAACTAAAAAGAAACTGACAGTTTAATTTCTGAATATAAGTTCATAAATTTCCTAACATTATAAGGTTCATCCTAAGAAATTTCAAAAGTGATTAAAAATAAATTTTTAAATAATCTAGTCCATGAAGTTGGCCAATTTTTTACCATTTGTTTATAAGTGATGCAGGTGTTGTACATCAATTATTTTAAAATAAGTAATATGAAAACGTCTACTAAATTTTTTTAATTGACGTTTCCATATTACTTATTTTAAAATAATTGATGTACAACACCTGCATCACTTATAAACAAACGGTAAAAATCGTAAAAAAATTGGCCAACTTTGTGAACTAGATTATTTAAAGATTTATTTTTAACCACCCTTGAAATTTCACAAAAAGAACCTTATAATGTTAGAGAATTTATGAACTTATACCCGGAAATTAAACTGACAGCTCCTTTTTGGTTAAATAATCCTTGAAAGCAAATTTTGTACAAATTTTACTTATAAAATTTGGATGCGTCAATCATTTGACCTACTATTAAAAATTTTACATGTGTGACTGATATCATTATAATTACGATATCTCTAGTCGTATAGTTTGGAACCGGCGTTATTTTAAAACCCGGTTTCTCGCATAATGTTACTTGATTCGCATCATTTGCAGCATAATTCTAAAAAATTTATCGTATAATTTGCATAAACTTATTTGTAAAGCAGGCAGAATTTGGGCTCTATCACAGCAGTATACTCCAAAAAAGTACGGGCACTTGATATTTTTGTGGCGCAAACCAATCATATTTAAAGATCAAGTGTAACGTAACACGATCAGGAAAATTCAAAACAAACGCAAAACCGTTTGTAACTCAAAAATCAGCATAGGAAACCACCTTTGGCGCCTTAACAAAAAGTTTTCCTTGCGCGATTTTAACTAACACTTAATCTCAATACAAATGCTAACCCTAACTTAATCGAGCTTGAAGATTTTGCAATACGGTCACGTATCCATACTTTTTTGAAGGCGATCCGACCCTCTATATGGACATATACATGTTGATCACTGTTTAATTTGTTTAACGCTAATTTATCCGATATCGACACCTAAAACTATGATCATCAGACTTCAAAATTATCGTAATATATTTAACGTTAAGTGTTCAAAATTATCATTTCAATCTCGCAGGATTTTCGGTACGCAATAAAGAATATTTCTTCGAAAATATTTTATTATTATAATTACCAACTATCTCAAATTATCAGCAATGACATCATCTATGAAAGCTATCCAAGTTAAGAATACGGGTGGTGTAGAGGCTTTGGAATATGTTACCATAGAGTGTCCTAAAATTACCGAACCGACTGATGTGTTGATTAAGAACCACTTTATTGGAGTGAATTTCATCGATATATATCACAGGTTCATTTCTTTTTAAAACGTAAATCACATTTGATTGGTAAAAATTTTATCATTTCGGATAAATCTTTTGGTAGAACTGGTCTTTATAAACTTCCGCTTCCAGTGGTAATTGGTCGAGAAGGTGCTGGCATCGTAGAATCGGTTGGCGAGGATGTAAAGGACGTTCAGCCCGGAGATCATGTAGCTTACATTGGTCCGTCTTATGCCGAATATACAATTGCGACTTCAAAACATGTTACTAAAGTACCAGATGGTCTCGATTTGAAGTTGGCTGCTGCTTCTGTTATTCAGGTATCATTTCGTTAGGCTGTTAATGGAATATATTCTGCCAGAGTAAACATAAAAAACCACTCCACACTGAGAATTATTACACCAGACCACATTTCATAATTTACACCAGGATACGCTAATCTGGATTGTAAAATATAGCCTATATTTTAATATATATCTAGAACGACATTATTTAATACTATAATATTTATTAATGTCGAGGCTGATGCCGAGATCGGCTGTCGTTGAGATTTGGTGTCTCTACTAAACTTTATTAAACCTACAAATTTATGCACTTTTATCAATAACTTTAAGTCCTAACCTAACTCAAAAAAGAACTAAAAAAAAAGGCATTCCCCTAAAACATTTTAAATTTCATATTAAAATAGGATCAATTCTCAGCATTAGTAATCTCAACATCAGCCACGGCAACTATATACGATAGCAAAATTTATTTGGCATTTTTAATCCAAAGTAGTATTAGTAGTAGTTCTGGAATATAAACCACTCTGTTTATTTTTATAATAACCTAGAGTGGTGTAATATATAAACCATACTGGTGCGTGATTTACATTTTTAGATTACTCCAGAGTATATTATTCCATTAACACCACATTTTGTCCAGAAGAAATACACATTTTATTATATATAATATTCTACAATTTGCTTATAATATGTTAAAAGGGCTTAACTTCTTTGACTTTGGCAACTCAATCTTATGAAGTGAAAAAAGATGATTGGATTCTTATCCATGCGGCCGCAGGTGGTTGCGGTCTTCTTCTTGTGCAACTTGTGAAAAATCGCGGTGCTCACGCCATTGGTACAGTTTCTAATGCTGAGAAAGCCAAACTAGCACTTCACGCTGGCGCAGAACATGTAATTAATTATACTACTCAGAATGTTGTTGAGGAAGTTATGCGGATTACCGATAATAATGGTGTACATGCTATTTTTGATGGTGTTGGCAAAGATACTTTTGAAACCTCTCTAGCCTGTGCTCGTCGTTTAGGATCATTGATTTCATTTGGAAATGCGAGCGGTGTAATACCTCCATTCAACCTTTCAAGACTTGCAGAAAAAAATTTAAAGTTGATGAGACCTACATTATTCAATTATATTGTAACTAAAGAAGAGTTTAAAAAATATACAACAGAGTTGTTTACAATGATTAACGAAGGAAAATTAGATATTAAAATTTGGAAGACATATAAATTAAGCGACGTAAAACAAGCCCATTTGGATTTGGAGGAAAGGAAGACGTCAGGAAAGTTGATATTACAACCTTAAATATATTTCTTTTTGGTTATATAAATAGAAAATTTTATTTTATCTAACTACTTATGAAAGTATCCTGTAAATGCGTGAAATTATGTTAATCTATAAAATAAACCATTCAGCACGTAAGAAAATTGCATGTACAATTTCAAGTTTACACGTAGTGTTTATACACGGGTACTTTACAAATTTATGTAATATATAAATAACGATTCTTAGTTTACACATAGTGTATTGTACACCGGTACATATGTGCAAATCGTAAGAAAATTCACTTAGGCTTAGGGCAAAGTAGGTTTATTAGGGTAGGTTATTAGTATATGGTAAAATTTCACGAGGAATTTTTGTTAGAACGTGTTTCATAATCTATATTTTTAAGAAAGAATCAATGGTTTAAAAAAGTGTTAATATTACGTTACACCAGATCTTGAATGCTGCTTTTCTATATACCCGTTATAACTACCATGCGATATAATAGTTAATAAAGAAGAAGTATGCGTGGCTTTATGATTGATTTATAAGGAAATCGTTATTAAGTTTATCAATTTTATTTACGGATTATTACTCTATACTATCGTTATTCATTTCAAGATTTTGGTATTTTGAAATTTTATCTGTTGGGATTATGTATATTAAAGATTGAATTATCGAAAACTTGTATAACTTTTGACTAAAAGTACTAAGTTAAACAACAGTTACACTTATATAAAGTTAATAATAAAGAAATTAGAATTTATTAACCTCTAAAATTTATTATATTCATAGTAGTACAGCATCACTAAAGTTGATATAATTTTTTAGATATAATTAGAATTGTTTTAGATTAAGTAAATAATATGATAAAAGTAAATATTTTATTATAGTATAATATTAGTATAACTTTTTAAATAAAATCAAAATTATTGTAAATATATACAAAATAAGTTCTAGATTATACTATAGCAGATAGTACTATAAAAGATAAAGAAAACATAGTAAGGTTAAGTCTAAAGCATCTGTATTGAGCAATAGCAGCAGGTCTGATTTGAAATACAAATTAATCAATAGATTAATGGCAGTAACAAGTTTGAAATATGAGTTTATTGCAAATTCTAAATTTTTGTTAAAAAAACCTTAGAAAAATCAATAATAAACATATTAAAGTCAAAATTATAAGAATTATAGATTTAATTTACTAATTTAAAAGTTGTTAAAGTATAATAGTAAAAAATAAAGGAATTTACACATCAGGGCCCAAAATTGAAAATAACTATGAATGTTGGCCTAACTTAAAAATATTTATATATAGAGGCTTAAAGTTTTAAAAATATTACAAATAAGGATTCAAATAATAATTGCATCATAATTTGCTACAATTATTCATCTTATAACTGCACAAAGTATGAGATTATGAATAAAAAAGTATGTAATATATAGCTACTAATTTCTATTTATAACAAGTATTTTTATTTATTTATTAATTATTTTTTAAGATAAACAGAATAATAATTACACTAATTTTATTTTTTTTAAAAAACAGTATCATTATTCAATTAGTAAAGCATTTTAATATAATTGCTAGATATATATATATGTTTTTTTTTTGGTATTAAGGTGACCTCTTTGGTCCTAGCTTTTTATTAATACTTATGTCAGGTACATGTTTTATACAAATGTATGCTAGATATATATAATAAACACTGTATTTATATAAATGCTAATATTTTATTAAACATTGTAACTAAATAAATGTAGCTTCAATTAACTAGTATTGTTTTGCCAGTGTCTTCTATTACAAGTTTATAAATTATAGTCTTTTTCATTGCATATTCTATAAGTATTTTGATCTTCTAATGCTGTTTTTTCATAATTATGTAAACAAGTCTTTTGTGATCATTTTGCTTACTTTATAGTAGTTGGTAGTAAAATTTATTATTAAAAAAGCAAGTTTTAGCATCAATAGGTTGAGTTAACTTTTTGTAAACATTTTGAAGAACAGTAGTATAGTATGTAATATATATAAATTTAGATAGTTGCTAACACATTTCAAGAATAACTATACAAGCATATATATAAACAAACTGATATTGTTGAAATTCTTGACAAATACAGATTAATTGATTAAAATTCACAATATGAAAATTACCATTAGCATTTTTTATCTTAAAAAGTAATTTGCTAATTTTATATATTATTCAACTATAATATTCATTAATAACTAACTAAAGTTTTTAAATAGTTTTTTGTAGTAATGTTAACTATGCTAAATAATATGCTATATAATAATTATAATAAAGTGTATTAACCTTATATACAAACAAAATAATTATATTAAATAGTTTTACTAGATGCTTATTATGTAATTATAAATTAAGAAATTCAAATGTATTATAAGTAAAATAACCAAATCTGTTACAAAAACATTACTAAGATTTTATATTATATAAGATATTTATTAAAGTAAGCTATAACTTTTGTATGCATATTAAAGATTTTTTCTATAATATTATCTAAGTTTTTTACATTTAATATTTTAATGCAGTCTATATTTTATATTCAAGTTTTGTCTTAAATTTTGTATTAACATTTTTTTCAATATGTTATAACAATATATATAAAAAGTATTAGAAAGTTTTGAATATATAGCATCTGAAATACCTTATATAAAATTATATTAAAATTTTTTTTTAATAATTTAATAAAGAAATATAATAAATGCAATATATCTTTTCATAATCACTTATAATTACAGCTTTATTTAAGTTTATTATCAAAAGAGCTATATACAAGTGCTTATAAAACTATATTTAATTATTAGTATTTTTAACTAAATATATAGCAAAAACTATAGAAATTAATTAATTCTTACTATTAATTGTATTTACTATTATAACTTGATTTTAAATAGCAAGCATTAAAAGTAAAAACATACCTATAATGCTTAATAGCTTAATCTATGACTATAAATATAAAAATGCATAAGTAAATTAATTTTTATTATTAATTTTAAAATTTATAATGCTTTCAGAATTGATTATAAGTAAATTATTAATAGTTTGATAAATTATTAGTTTTTATTTATCTCTACTGCTTTACATTTTTTGTTGACAGTTTAACTTCTTCAAGTTGCTATATACAATACTTTAGTACTTAATTTTAAACATATACAGTTTACAATATTATGAAGATAAAATGCTGCTATATCTTTAACCAATGTTACAGTAAATTTTTCAAAAAATAATCTAAATGTCTTGAATATTTTTGTAAAAGTTAGACAAATTAAATTATAATAAACTAGCTTTACAATATGAATATAACCATCTTTATGTCTATTGGCAAAAATAGTAAAAAGGCATATACTAGTCTTATTTGTAAGACAAACAATAAGCAGTTTGTTGGGTTTGTTAATCTTGAATTAATAAAGCACAGAAAATTTAATAAAAGAATTGTTTAGAACTAAATGAATACTTTCTATTTTAGTAAATATTATTCTAATTTATATTAAATTTGATATAATTAAAGATTATATTTTAAGAAATAATTTTATAAAGCAAATAAAAATAAAAAACAATTTGTAAATAGATAATATCTTGTATTTTATACTTATATTAATTACTAATTTATATTTGTTAATATATAGTAATAACAATATATTTTTTATATACTTGAAAGTAAAATTTAAATCACAAGTATAAATTACAAGTTTAAATTATGATTGGCCTAAGTCATATAGATACTAATTTATATTATACAAAACTACTTAAATTTTTATTTGTAATATTTTTAAAAGATTAAACTTTTAGATATAAATATTTTAAAGTTAGTTACTTATTTATAATTATTTTTAATTCTAGGCCTTAATATGTTAATTTTTCTAAAAAATATAAAAAACTTAAATTAGCTAAAAATAATAAAATCAAATATACAAAAGTTAATAAAATAGCAAACCTAAATCTTTTTACTAAGCAAAATAGTTAATAATATTATTATTTATAAATATTAGAGATCTTAATTATAAGTATTAATTTTAACTATAATATATACAATATATAGCAGAATAATATAAATTATTAAAAATAATTACAAAAATTCATAAAAAGATTTTTAATAATTTTAAATAAAATTCTAATTCTTTTTAATAATCATTTAAACCAAACTTTTCAAAAAACTAAACTATAAAAAAATAATATAATTAATATATTAAACTTTATATAAAAACCTTTTTAAAGTATTGTACATATATAGTTAAATATTAAATAATATTAAAAAAGAAGTTGTAGCTTTGTAGTAATAGTTTAAAAGTGTTTTAGAACTATAAAAAAAGTAGTTAATAAAAGCTAAAGTTTATTATTATTTTTTTTTTTAAATATTAAGATGAGTACTTGTGATCCAGGATTTTATTGATCGTACATTTAGCTAATGGTTGCATTACAACCACAGGGGGCAACCATGGAAAGAGTGTACAACTAACCACTCGTACAACTTTTAGTCATTGTCTAATTTAAGTAGTCCGCCTGAAGGTTCTATACTAGCTGCCATACCTGGAACCTGCTT